TGCTGCAAGTATTCCCCTGCTCCAGTGGGGCCTGTGTCTACCTGACCTGAGTCTCAGAGCCCGCCCAGCCCCCGAGGCTCACCCAAGGATCGTGGGGACTGAATGAGACCAGTAAGCCCTGGCAGGGTCCACCGGTCCATGGGCCCTCTGGCCAAAGGACACGTGTGAGCAAGACTTGGCTTCCGTGTGCTTCCTCAGAGCCCTCCTATCTGCTGGCGAAGGCCAGCGGAGACCTGCTGGGCTCCGAAGGCCACCCAAACCCAGGGCTTTTCCCAATGGCTTTGAACATGTACAGTATTGAGAACTGAGGCCATGTCTGACTCATATGCCCTGGGACCAGGTCCCCTGGGCATTTGACATTTCTGAGTGACAGCTCAAGGAGGTGTGTCAGAGGCATGTAGGGAAAGGAAACATGCATAGGCAGCCCTCCCCTTGCGGCTCTGCAATTAGAAAACAGGACAAGCAGTCCCTCTTCTGTGCCGCGTCCCGCACCGATTCCCTGAAGCAGACCCTAATTAGGATGGACAGCTGTTTTCCACCCTGGGACTGGAAGAAAGCCTGGAAATTATCTTAGTCGCGAAGTCTCCAGCCCCAAGAACCATCAGAACTGCCACACGGATGAACAGAAAATAGCAGATGATAAATTTTTTAGGACCGCCCTCTGTGTGCCAGTTGTCGCGGACTGTGAGATAATGTGCTGGCCTTTTTGGGAACATGCATTATTGATCTGGGTCTGTCTAGCGGTTTATAAAAAGCCCCCTTCCCCCGCACTGCCACCTTCCCATCCCTCACCTCCTGGGGGAAGGCAGCCTCCTTCAAAAGCCAGTCCTGCCATTGGAAGGGCTGGCTCATTAGTGGAAGGGAGGACAAGTAGGCACCGATCTATGCAAGTTAGTGCTTCAAGGTGGGAGCTGACTGGTGCCATGGAAAACCAGGGCTCTAAACCTACCATCCACCCATGTATCCACTTCCTGAAATTTATCTTTGGGTGTGCAAAACTGTGTGTATAAAGACACTTCTGGCAACGGTATTTGTACTGGTGAAAACTAACAAACACACACACTAACTTAATAATAAAAGCGTAATATGCTAATTAGACCAGACGTCTTTCCAGACAAAGCTGGGGCTGCGAGGGCTGAGGCAAGCCGCAGCGGCTGGGAGGGCCGATTCCCTTGCAGGAATTTCATGCATCGGGCCTTTAGTCTAGAAATAATAGCCATCCCAGGAGACTGGTTAAGCAGAGCTGGGCCGGGTTCAAATCCTGTTTAACCATGTTCTAGTTGTGTGACCTTGGACAGGAAACTTCATTTCTCTGGGCCTCGGTCTCTCTATCTGTAAAACAACAGAATGAATCTGTGTATTTAAGCCATGGATTTCTTTGCTCTCCTCTCTCCCATGTCCTCATCACACGCTCTTTTCCTACATTTGCACAGCCTACTGGCTTTGAGAGTCACAGATGCAGACTTACACTCAGATTTGGGCACGAGGCTTAGTTAGATGGCGTTGCTGCAGCAAAAATGTGTTGTTTCTACAAATGGGTATTAATCATTCACCCTGGTTCAGGCCAAAAGTTTAGGAGTCATCTCGAAGCCCTCTTTTCCTGAACCCCCGACCTCTAACCCATCCATCACAGTCCCGCCCCTTCCACCGCTCTGCTCCGGGCCCAGCGTCCATCATCGCCTGCCCAGTCACTGCACCGGCCTCCAAATGGGTGTCCCTGTCTCTGCTCTTGTTCTCTGCGGGCTAATTTCAACATAAAGTCAGAGGGATCCTATTGAAACCTAAGGTAGATCACGGCCCTCCCCTGCTTAAGGTCCCCAATCCATGTCTGTTTCACTAAGAATAAAACTCCAAATCTCACCATGCCCACGAGGTGCCCTGCGACCTGGTCCCGTCGGCTCCTGGACTCAGGTCTCTTCATTTATATATACCCCAGCTAGCTCCATGACCGCTCACAACATTCCTTCTGTCCCTACCCACCCAGCTCATTTCTAACTCCGTATTTTTGCCTGGAATGAGCCTTCCCTAGTCCTGAGGCTCCCAGGACAGTGCACTGCACAGCAGATGCTTAATACCTATCTGTTGAGTGCATGAAAGAACGTCAGGGTATCTTGAATTCCCACACATAACTATGACCAAGTCACTCGAGGGGGCCCATGAGGCAGGACCAAGGTGCTCTGAAGCCCAGGTGCTACCTGCACGTGCTCTCTGCAAAATTCTGCTGGAAACAACCCTCACTTCCCTATGGTTGAGGCCTGCAGATGCCCCGTGGTTATCAACCATGACTCATGCTAAACGGTGCCGGGGAGATAGGGATCATGTCTGTCAACTTGTCAATAAAAGCTCTGGGCTCCGATTACTTCCTGGCTGCATATTCCTGTTGCACTGATAAGCTGCCTGTGAAAAATCTATACTTGTGATCATTAATACAAATCATTACAAGGAGTGACTTGGATTTATATAAATCACCCTCTCTTGGCAGTTAAAAGACTGATTCATGTTTTTAATAACGGACCCAAAAAGGGTGTGGATTTGCAGTTGGATCTCCATCACAATCTTACATTTGGTTGCACAGGCTTGTCCAGTAGCCCTTTAATTTGATTGCCACCAGTGATATTTGGTTGTCCTTTGAGAGTGGGCAGAGGCTAAAGGCCAAACCCTCACCTGGTCAACTACTGGCCCTCCTCACCACAACCCCGGAGAGCCTCCGGGGTCTGGCTCTATCCTCACTCTCCAATCTCATTGCCTTCATCCCTTTCCCAGGCTCCAGCCACATCTGTCTCCTTGGCCCTGCCTCAGGGCCTTTGCACATGTTGTTTCCTCTGCTTAGAAGGTTCCCCCTGCCCCCACCAGATATTTACAATACACAGTAGTATTGATGATGAGAGGGGAAATCTAATTTACAGGAGAAGGAAAATGGGAAAGGCTCGTGTGCTGTCCTGAACGGCAGCCACCAGCCACAAATGGCTAGTGGGCACCTGAAAGGTGACTAGTCCTAATTGAGATATGTTCTAAGTGTAAAATTACACGCCAGATTTTGGAAACAATATGAAACATGTAAAATACCCGTTAATAATTTTTTCTATTGATTACACGTTGAGATGATACTCCAGGTATAGTGGGTTAAATTAAATGTCATTAAAATTAATTTCACCAGTTTCTTTTTTAGTTTCTAAAAAATGTAGCGATTAGAAAATTTTAAATTACTTATGTTATCTGCATTTATGGCTGGCATTATCATTTCATAGGGCAGCACTGGTGTAGGATTTAATGTAGAGAAATGGAACCAAGAAAATCAGTAAATTCAATAGGGAGAAGACACAAGATAAGAACAGTTTCCACTTAGGAGAACCTCAAAGGTGAGCTGGAAACAGACATGGAGATTGAGCCAGGGGAGTAGGAAGTCCAAGTGAGACTTTCTGGAGGCCTCACTCTCAGTGGCCTCATTTATGGGGTCTCTTTCCCATGCAAATGAAGCCACCCACAGCTTGGGTGGAGGAGCCCATGTCTTATTTAGGAAGGCAGGGGGGATGGTTTATACCAGTGGTCGGCAAACTGCGGCTCGGCAAACCGCGGCTCGTGAGCCACATGCGGCTCTTTGGCCCCTTGAATGTGGCTCTTCCACAAAATACCGACTTCTGCACATGGGCCACGAAGTTTCAATCGCACTGTATGTGCGCGCCCGCACATGGTATTTTATGGAAGAGCCACACTCAAGGGGCCAAAGAGCCGCATGTGGCTCTCGAGCCGTGGTTTGCCGACCACGGGTTTATACAATAAACCAAAGGTGTGACCCAGGAGTGGCTTGTGTGAGGAATAAAGGGGAGGCGTGGAGGCCTTGAGCTGGAGAAGCCCTTGGGCACAGCCCTTGCCGGGCCTGCCTGCCATCCGTGTAAATGGTCTAAACTGGGCAAGGGCCCCTGTCTCACCCGCTCTACCTGGTGCCCACAGTGCTGCGTGGGGAGGAAGCTCAGGACCAGAGACGGCCAAGCTCGTCCTCCAGAGGCAACATCTCTGAGAACTGGGTCAGGTCACTGCCAATAGGGACGGCTTCCTGCCCCTGGATGCCACCCGGGAAGCTGAGCCCACCCACAGCTGTTGAGGTGGTTGGAGCAGGGGCTCACACATGTATGTGTGTATTCGTATGCACGGGAGGGTGGTTCCTTCTGTTCAGTGTCAGCACAAACACTACCACCTCCGAGAGCCCTCCCTGATGACCAACCCAAAGCAGCTCCAACCACCGTCCCATCCAGCACAGCGCCCCCTTCAGGTTCACAGGAGCATTGCTCCTTCTTGAAGTTATTGTAATTAATTAATAATTGATTAATTTTCTAAGCCCTGACTTTGACCCTGGCCTGACCACTGGACACAGAAGCTCAGGCAGGAGAGCAGGTGTGACAGGGCAGGACAAAGCCTCATCTCTGCCAGGAAAGCCCAGAATGACACGGAGTCCGATGGGTTTGTCCCTCTTTCCAGCTGTGGGACCCCCTTCAATCTCTTCATTTTAAAATAATACAAAACGGCTTATCTAATGAGATCGTGCATGTGACACTGCTTTACAAAACATCCAGCACCATCAAACCTAAGGAACCAGGGCATCACTTTATTTTACATGTGAACGGCAGTCGCACCGATGACCTGTCTCCCTCCCTCCGTGAGTGCAGGCCTGTGCCTTCCTCAACATTCCTGAGGCTCCAGGCCCTGGAACCATGCCTGGCACATGGCAGGCAGGTACTCAACAGAAATCAGAGGAACATATGAACTGGTCTTAACGTGTCTTCTTCAGAAGGGTTTGGAGAAATCCAGGAAGGGTTTTGCATTAGGAAAAGGCTGGAGACCCCTCACCTTGAGAGTCCACAGCTGTGGGCTGCCCCTGTGACTTGGTTAAATCCACTAGAAGTGACTCTACAGCTTGACATGAGCACCTGCGTCGGGAGCCTTCGCCCCAGCAGGTGGCCCTGAGGGCCCGGGTAGGTGCCACCTGCCGGCCGGGTGCTTACCGAGCTCGACGTCCTGGTCATCTGTGAGCACCAGGATGATGTTGGGGCGGATGTTTCTGCGGTCCCTCTGGAACCTGCCTTTCAGGCGGTGGTGCGACAGGAAGGAGGAGCTCCCACCCAGCAGAGGGAGGACAGAGAGCAGGCACAGCAGGAGGCCGGGGCGGGCCATTTTATGTTTCTGTTGATCTGTCGCTTCTTGCAGGAGGCAGGAGTCTGGAGCTGCGCCTGGTGGACTTGTTCCTTTGCCCTCTTCCCTCTCTGCTCACGGATCTAAAGGAGCAGAAGAGAATCAGGTCAACCTTTCTGTACGGCCGTGACCGCTCAGACTTGCATAATGAGGCGCACGATGGCCTCTGGCACGGACAAGGACAGTTTATCTGATCAGGGCGGCTCTAGCCGAGCAAACATCTAACACGGCTCAAGTGAAAAGTTATTTGCAATTTGCTCAGCAACAGGCTGCGGGGGGGGGGGGGGGGGGGGCGGGCGCGGGAAGGAAGCCTCCAGTGACCACTTCTGCAGCCAGAACTGTCCCCTGGACCCGCGGGCGGCTGGATGTGCTGGTGGCAGCTCAAGCCCCAAATCAGATGGTCAGCCGGTCACTGAACCACACAACCACTTCCACAGACAAAGCACCCCCAGAGAAAGGAAGGGAAGCAGCCCACTTTGGGGGAGCAGCCTTTTCTGGCCATCTCTTCTCAGTGGGCAGACGGGAGGGGGCTGCAGCCTGTGGCTCAGGGCGGGGCCGGGAGAGCAGGGCGGGAATGGCGCCCATCCACTCTGGGTGGATGACTCCCCATGCTTCAGCCCCGATTCATCGCTCACCAGCTCCGTTTCCCCGTCAGTAAGCCAGTGGGGAGCACGGGGAGACACGGCTGTTATTAGAACCTGATGCAGTCGGGACGTGTGTGAAGGCTCCCTGCCAACACCCAGAGCTGGGCAAGTTATTCCTATTAGTTTTAGGTCGAATAAACAAAATGACAGAAGAGCTGTCACATTCCACTGTGACCTCAGTCACCCCCGCCCCCCCATCCCACCACACCCCAGATCAGGTCACACGCAAAGCTGGGGCACGGGTGGAGGGGGGGTGAGCTTGGCGCAGGCAGGTCTCTGTGGTCATTTTTCTATTTCTTGAGGAAATGAGCCTTCAAGTCCTGTCCAGATAGAGACTTTTGGTCTCATTTATTTAAGGCACGCATGAGAGAGGGGGAGAGAGAGAGAGAGAGAGAGAGAGAGCGCGCGAGCAGACGTGTTGAGAGGAAACCAAGCTTGATGGAGTCAGGCTGAGTCACCCTCCTTGTGACCTTGAAGGACCACGGGGAACCCCACCCCAAGGCTCCGGGAGCTCGGCAAGGGCCCCAGTTTCTGCAGAGCGGAATGCTGCCTTCATTTCTCCTTGGGGCTACAAAAGCCTCTTGCGGGGTCTCCTCCCTGTCCCCACCCTTGGCCCCCTTCCTTTATCCCCAGGGCGGCCAGTGTGAATTTCCGAAAACTGAAATCAGGTCATACCGCTCAGTGAGGCACTCACTCCAGGTTGTACAAGCGCAAGGCACTCATCTCACCCTTGATCCCGTCACTTACTTGCTTAGACCCTCCCCTGGCTTCTCAGGGCTCAGGCAATAAAATGCAAACTCCCCACCAGGGCCACCAGGGCCCATGTGATCCAGCCCCTGCCCACCTTTCCCCCTTCATCTCAGTTGCTCTCCTGCCCCACTGGCTTCTTTCTGCTGCTTGGACAAGTCAAGCTTGTTCCTGCCCCAGGGCCTTTGCACTTGCTCCTCCTTAAACCTGGAAGAGTCTTTCCCCAGATTTTGTATGATGGGCTCATTCCCCTCTGACGAGTCTTGGCACAAATGTCACCTTCTTGGAGAGGCTGCACTGACCACCTATCAAAAGTGGTGCCTGCCCCCACCCGAGGCATTCTCTGTATTGTATAACCTGTTTTATTTCCCTAAATCCCTCCTATAACCGGCAATTGTTGTATTTATTGCCCAGTCCCCGCCCCCCTCCACTGAAGGGTCAGCTCCCCGAGGACAGGACGTGGGCCCGTGTTAATCACAGCTTTGTCCCCAGCACCTGGGACTGTGCTTGGCACATAGCAGGCGCCAAATACATATTCAAATAAATAAAGGGGCGGAGGTTTTGTTCCGGTCCTCTGAGCTCTGCTGGGCTCGGCAGGGCTGCACAATAACCTGGGTCCCGAGGCTCAGTGGCTCGGAGGCCTCTGTCAGCAATGCCTTCCCCATCACCCTTCCTGGCCACCAAGGAGGAGTTGGCTACTCTGTGGTTGAAAAGACCCCAGGAAGGGTCGAGGGGTGGCTGATTTTTGTCCCCTGATCCATTCTCCATCCTGCTCGGTGCCCCAGGAAGCAGAATGCTGCAGACTGCATCTCTGGCTTCCTGCTGGTTCCGCCAGTGGAAGCCCTGCTGGGAGGCTGCAGGGCGGGAGGAGTGGGCATCAGCATCCCTACTCTCCTCTGCAGCAGCAAGTGGCTCCCAGCCCTGTGGTTTTCCAGTTCCAGCCGGGGCCCCTCCCAGCTCCAGCTTTCCCCCAGTTCTGGGTGTCTGTCCCCCCTCTTGCCCTCTGAGCCTGGGGCGGTCATGGCTCCCCTCTCTTGCTAGTTCCCGAGAGCTGCACCATTCCTTGTCTGCTCCCTATCCCCGGCTCCTTAGCCTGCCTCTGAGAGCAGTGCCTTCAATCCCGTCTTCCTAGGGGAGCAGGGGCAGGCTCCACTCAGGGCTCCCCGCCTCAGGGGCCTCCGACAGGACATCACATTATCAGGGCAGCTGACTGAGAACCGTGAGTTTCATGGGACTGGAGGACAAGCACCGACTTCCATCTTCATCCCTAGAATCTGCAAAACACACATCTCTCGGCAGCCAGAGCCCTTGCATCCGCCGTGCACTGGGCACCTGCTTGGTGCCACGTCGGGTGCCGGCTAAGATGTGGACTTTGGAGTTACTTGCTGGGTTACCCTGGGCAAGTAACTTAAAAACACCTGTGTCTCAGTTTCCTCATCTATAAAATGGGTGAAAGGGATTAACGAGTTAATAGAGTGCTGAGACCAGCAGTGCCTGGCACATGGTATTAACCGGAACACGTCGCTGACAGTGTGACCTGTTATTAGGTTATTACTATCACTGCAGCTGGGTCTTGCGTCAGGCACTCTGTTCACGGCATCTTGGTCAATCCCCACACCTACTGCCTCACACAGGCACTAGGCTAGTATTATCCCCATTTTACAGCTGAGAACTGGTGAGGCCTAACGGTCCTATGATGATCCCGAGAGAAAGTGACAGAGACAGGGTCTGGCCTCTGCTCTCCCTGCTCAGCGTGGGCCCTTCACCATTAACCTCACGTATCCCAGCTTCTTCCACTCCAAAGCCACAACCCCGATGTCTGCCTTTCCTGCACAGTCCTTCCATTATTTGCTTCATGCGCTTCTTTAAAGGACCGCATTTGAAAATAAAATCATAAGTACATGATTCTGAAAAAGAAAACGTTGTATCCAAGGATAAATGGGAAAATCAGCAAACCTTCTCTGTGGCAGGGAACCACGCAAACAAAGTCCAAGAAAACAGACTCAGTGTTAACTCGGCCTCACAGCATCGAGCTCATGTTGAAGGCTCCAAGGCCAGCCCTGTCTCGCCTGTTCTTGACCCTGCCCCCTCTATTTAAGGGAGATTAGCCGGTGTTAAAGGCGTCAAAGCATATTAGCACCATCTCTCCTGGAGGTAACGGGAGGCTTGGGAAGGGTGGAAAGGAGGCAAGCTCTAGCCATCTAACGAGTCCCTGAATTATCCCAGACCTGGGGTCCTCAAATCATGCAGTTTATGAGTCCATGTGCCCCTTGGAAAACACACCAGGATGCTTTGTGCTTTGCACACCCATTAAAGTGCACATTCATGCTCCTTCAGGTTGACTTCGAGGGATCAAGTATCGAGAGAATTGCCCCGGGATGCCCTACAGACAGCAACTCTCTTATACCAGAAGCAGTAACAGCAGATGCTTATTGGCAGTTGGCAATGCTTCAACTCGTTTCATCTGCACATCCACCCACTGATCTCACACCCATGTTAATGTTATGAACGCGGAAGCTGAGGCCCCGAAGTAACACACTTGCCCAGGATCACATGCTCAGTAGGTGGTGGGAATCAGCCTGCTCAACCAGAACCTCCTTGAAGTAGATCTCTGGGCAAGTTCCTCAGTCTCCTAGCCTCCATTTTCATATTTGCTCAATGACGGAGTAGGTGGCCACCAGGTGCCCCCGAGGGCCTTTTTGGCCCTGGGCCTGTGATGTGAGGTCCCCGGGGGCTGGGAGCTGCAGCCTGTATTGGGAGCCCTGGGCCAGATGGTGGGTGGAGCTGGGAATGTGTGCAGGGCACCTGTGTTGTCTCCTTAGCAACCCCTGCTCCCCTTTCTGGGCAGCGACAGCCCACCCGTCAGAATGCTCCGCTCTGGATGGAAGTCAAAGCTCTGCAACCAGAGAACAGGAGCTAATTATTTCATCAGAGCAAGTCATCAATGGGCCGATTTTGATGAATTCCCCGGCTCCGACTTCCCCTGGCCTTGTGCCCGTCTCTCTCCAGATGCCGAAGGAATCAATGAAAAATGACACAAGGGGTTCTGCCTCCATTTTTCTACCTCTTGGTAAAAGATCTGAAGTCGCTGAACCGAGAAAGGATCTGGAGAATCCTGTACAGATGACCGTGTTCTGTCCGTCTCACGGACACCCCCTCTCATCCCACCAGCTTGTGGCAGGCAGGGTCCCTCCAGCCCCTTCCCTTCACCCGGTGTTTTCTCACAGACCTTCCCTGACCAGGATGGCATCTCCGGAAACGCCTAATGTCCCAAGCGTTCGGAAACATCACCCCGCGTCTGGGTCTATCGGCCCTTCTGCAGAGAGGAGCAGGTCTGAGGGTGACCGACAACCCCCAGCCCTGCATACCACAACTTTGGGGAACACCCGGGACCTCCCCAGGCCTGTCCAGGAAGAATCAGATAGCTGTTTTCCTCTGAGGATCCCTGAATCCAACCAGAGAAGTCAAGAGGAGGTTGGAAATGACCAGGCAGCTGAGGGGGGTGGGAGAGGAAGTGGCCAGAGGCAGGACAAGGCATTGATCAGACAGGAGAACTCACAGGGAGGTGGGAAGAAAGGAAAGTGTGAGGTGTGCAGAGATGCCCTGTGTGCCGGAGCCTCGGCTGCAGACTGGGAGACCCTCCTAGGTGGTCCAGAGCCCGGGCACTTATGTCTTCCTTCCTTTACTTTACA